TGGGTAGTCTTGGTTTAGATAGATCTTCTTTAATTCCGTTTATTGTGAAAGTGAACTGTACAGTTAGTAAGGTGACAGACTTGTTTTGCATTTAATAGTCCTTTAACTACTTTCTAGACCGAGTTTAACCCGGACGGAGAACTCTGAAGCTTAGAAGTGATGTTTTGTTTCCTATCCTGTTACATTTTTTATAGAACATACCTACAAGGCGAGCTCACCCGGTCCAGAATCGGACAGAATGATGCTCTTTTACTGCAGGTACTGTAAAATAACTGGTTAACCTTGTTTTTATTTTTCGTGATTAGTGTTTTTAAAGTTATACGCTGTATGAACGCATTAATCACAAAAACTTCAATTATAATCATTTGGGAAAAAAAAAACTTTCAATCAGTCTTACAGGGCGATAATTGTTACAAAGGTTACCTACACAAAACTGTCCAGCCCGATTGCAGGAGAGAACCCCTGATTGACACAACTGAGTTCATTTGGAATCAGTGCTCGTTTCCTACAGTGTGATTTGACAGTTTTAAGTGATCCCTGTAACAGAAATGATAATTTAAAACTAAAAATCTGAATCAAGGATTTATACCGAAATTTACCTTAACAATTTTAATAGTTTAATACAAATAATTTTTCAAGAGAAGTCCAATATTGTGGTATTTTGCTATAAATTGATTTTTCTTTTCAGTAACCTCACTAAATAAATATGGATTTTTTTTTTCAGTGCGCGAATTGACGGCCTTGTAAAGCGTGAAGAATCATCTGAGGAAATGACTGAAAGTTATGTGGATAGAGACGACTTCATGTACTATCGACAGGTTACTTTTGGTAAACGGGTGAAAAAGTTTGGTCCACAGGAGGCAAACTCAAGACCAATTGTGGTAAGATAAAACTATAGTTCCATCTGGCATTTTTAATCTTGAAAACTGTATGCTGTTTGAGTAGGAAGCACAGAGCTAGCGTGCAAGAGTGAGTGTGGAGCCCGCGACAGTTAATTGTACATCCTGATTCTAGAGGCAAGCTTGCCTCTGCAGTTACAAGTCTACTATCACATTAGGAATTTCCATTTCTGGGGAAACAGGAAAAGCAGTTCACCTTGTTGATGCACAGTACTTATTATACAGAGGTGGACAGTCGCAGACATTAGAACCAAAAATTCAGAGTTGGTATTCAGATTATTATCTGAAATATCTGTAACGGAAGAGTTAATGCTTCTTTTTTTACAGAAAATAGTTGAGAGATTTCACCGCAACAAAGCTAAAGAAGCAAACGAGGATGTTGCTGAGAGAGTTTTCCTTGTCTCTGATGAGCGAATCAGCTTGACATTTCACTTGGAAGACAACAGAGTGACAGCCTCCACAAGGGAATTCATCCGCCCTCCATACACAACAGAAAAAGGAGGGACACTGACTATGACACCTGATATGACAACCACTTTCCAGGTGAGTTTTAGAGTAACTGTCATTATTATCCAACTACACTCCGAAGAGTACAAATAACGCCATAAACGAGTACAAATATCATGCGGTATTTGTACTACAGAGAACCGGTTAGACAGGTTTTCTTGCATCGCGCAAGCAAAGAATTAGATTGAAGTTACAAAAAAAAAATGACGGACAATTTGAATCACATTTCCAATGACGAAGAGTCGGAATGGCTGGCAAATATAGATCCAAGTTTATTAGTCTGAATCGAACGAAGAAAAACTGTTAGACAACCAAGAAATTTCTTCATTTATTGAAGAAAATAGGACAATAAATAACTTATTAGACGTTTTGTTGTGTAGTATCGCTGAGTATTTACTTGTTATTTGTATTTTGACTCGCCCTATGGGCTCGTCAAAATACAGCACAACTCGTAAAAATACTCAGCGATACTACACAACAAAAAGTCTAATAAGATATATATCTTATGTCAAAATTGATTCCAAACTGACACACTCTGTCAGTGGCCCAGAAAACATGCACCATCTTGTTAACCAAACAGATGCTGAGCAAAAACCAATGGGGACTAGGGTCCGCCGCATTTTCCTGCACTGTTGGCTTCTTGCTTGGTTTTACTCTGAGTTTTATCAGCTCCTTCCCGGGCTGTGATGTTTTCTCTCATTCGGATTGGAAAATGTAAATACTTTGCTTGGATTTTTCGATACTAAATTGAAAAGGGTGCCGGTACGTGTGCTTTCAAGAACAAAGACAAGGGAAGGAACTCACTTTCGACTGAGTGTTGTGAATTGGATACCTTAGTAATCAACTTTGTCTATTTCTTTAATCTCATGTCAATAGGTGGATCCGCTCATCAAACCACAGAAAAACTTATATGTTTACGAAATGTTGGTGGAACTTGTGGATGCTGAGGAGCAGAGCACGAATCAGATAAGAGCGTCTGAAGAGGAGGTCAGCATCGTAATACATCTTGTTTTGATCTGTCGCTACTTTGATTCTTACCTTTTTTACGTTATAATGAAGAATGCTTTTGCTAAAAAGTCGTTTTATTTGAAGGTGAGAGAAATTCTTCAGCTCCGAATCAAAGAGGAAGCTGCATCCCAGTTGAGTGTTTCAGTGTATGATACAGAGAGAAACGAGAAAGCCAAGTTGCATCGCCAAGAACTGGTAAGGTTATTCACTTCAAATACAAGCTCTTTTGAGCCAGTTGCCCTGATTGGTTTTGAAAACCTGCAATCACCCTCCCAACCAATCAGATGCAAACTAGAACCAATCGCGATTTGTGACCCGCGTTTTCCCACGCTTCAGGCAGGTCGCTTATATTTACTTTGTGCTCAACCAATCAGATACAAAACTAAAACAAAACAACTATTAAGTTTGAATTGATTATAGTTTTACTACTGTTACTCCACCATGCATCCCGCAAACCTTCCTTCCATGCATTCTGAAATTCTTAGAAGTTCCCTTAAAACTTTTAAACATGACACTTTGAGACTTTTTGTGAAGCGCCTCCGGTAAAACAAATCGTATCATCCGAGTATTTGTGAAGGAAGAACTTGCTGCTGTAGGACTCCTTTTCTTCTTATTTATTTACCCTTTTGTTTGCTTATTTTCACAACTTGAGTATTGATTGATTGATTTTCTTGCACTAGGAGCGTAAAGCAGCAGAGGAAGCATCAAAGAAGCATGAACTTGAGTTGGATTACCTAGCGCCATTCCTGGCACAAATTGGTGATCCACCGCACATCACCCAACATGAAGCTTATAAACTCAAAGAGGAATGCCTACAGGATCTAAAGCACCGACTCATTGACAAGGCAAACCTCATTCAGGCTAGATTTGAGAAGGTTAGTATGGTCAAAGCCTAACTTCAGTTTTCAGTAAGTCACTGTTCAACTTCAGTGAGTCGGTTGTCAGATTTGAAAAGTTTAGAAGTCATTTGATTACGACTAAAGCTCAAACTTGAGTTAGTTCTTAGGAGCTTGATATTTCAGTGTTGCCTCCCATTTTCCACTCCAACTGGGGTCTGTCCCAGCTGGGCAATCTTAGTTTGACCGTTAAAGTAGTTTATGCAAGCTATATACTTTTACACCCTCTGCAACTGAGACTGGAAGATAGTTAAAATGTTGCAGATTTGGTGCCATTATTCATCGAATCACATGGAAAGATATCTCTGAGAATTACTTCGTGTGTTTGTGTTGATATTTTTCATTCCAGATATTAATGTTGTAGTTCCAATATTAACCTGGTTTTATTGTAGAACAGTTTGATTTTCATTTTTTTTTTGTCTTTTACTCGTCATGATTTTAGATTTAAAATCAATGAAAGATAAATCGTCACATGTATGGGGCTCAGGGAGATTTCATTGACAGATTCTCTTTACTTCACTATAGGAAACACAAGAATTACAACGCAAGCAAAGGTGGTATCAGCAGAATCAAGTGTCCATGACAAAAGAAGACGAAGAAGAATACCTCAACTATTGTAGCGAAGCCATGTTTAGAATACATATCCTTGAACAACGCCTTAATAGGTATAGTTCTTCATAATATAGCCACTGAGACATAAAAGATCTTGCTTCGGTTTCCCATTGGATTGTGTACTTTTTTGTTAGTACTTGTCTGTTGTATGGCAAGGTTTGTCGGTGTTTTGAACAAACGAATTCAGATTTTTATTTCCCTACTATCGAGTTTTACCCCTCGTAGGGTGGACGAGTAAAGAGTTATTTGTTGCTAAAATGGGAGTGATTATTAGTGGGTCTGAACGTGACATTTACGGAAAAAGGCAAAAAAAGAACTCTGATTCAACCTAATTTTCAGACTGGGTATTTAATCATCCCACTAGAAAAATCGCAAAATATCTCTTGTTCAGTCAATACAAAAATTTCAAGGTGACTGTTAAGGGCTCATATCAGACACCTTAGGAGTTCAGTATTTTTCACCTACTGTGAATTTCATACCTAAGTACTTGGTAGAAAAACATCTTATTTTCCCGGGAACAGTCAGTTCTTTCTTCAAACACAACTTCTCCCACAGCACAAAAACGTCTCAAGGTCAGGTTGATTCATGGTCTTGCTGAAAGAACAAGGCTGCGTTTTTCCCCTTCTCGTGCGTGGCTCTCCCTTTGGGCTTACTTCACGCTTTTCCACGCTCCCCTAAAAAACTCAGAGCCTTACACCTCTGTTGTCTTTCCCACAGACTTCGTGTTACTTACCTGTTTATTTTTCTTTTCCAGACATAAAGAACTGGCTCCTCAAAAGTATGTTCAGCTGGAACATAAACTCAGGAATGATCCAAGACTTGCAGAGCATTTCTAATCTGCTGTGGATATCAACATTTATATATATGTGTATCTCTGTATTTACTCACAGTTTTTGAATAAACACTAAATAAAACTTTGATCTGGTTTGATCGCCTGATAGTGCTAACTATCTGTCGATGCAGGAGAAAGACCACAATTTAATTGAGGAGCCCACAGTCAAGTCAGCTGAAATATGCACATGATACAAAGAAAAGTGAAAACTTTTCACTTCTTAAGTTACTTTATTATCAGTAGAGTTTTACACTGGCCGGCTAAATTACAGTATTGTGGCTGATGTTTGTTTGGAGTTCTAAAAAAAAAAGTAGTCATGAATGTTTATGGTGTTGTTTGCAGTTTAATTAATGGCAAATTGTAAAACAACACGAGTTTGTGCATTGCTTTGTTTCATACAGACAGCACACTTCCGTGTCTCCATCCATCACCAGGCTTTAATTATTTCATCTGCAGACGGCAGAATGTTATTGCTTGTTCTTCGATGACTGTTTATCTGTCAGAATAAACCCCTCCTCATTCAATTTCTTTTTATAATCATCGTAAACACGTTTCCTGGCAAAATAAGACACCTAGAAAAAGGCAAAGGAAATAACAGCTGAAAAGTGGACAGACCATAAATAAATTTGCAGGAACAGAGATGATGCTAAGAACATGTAATCACAAAAGAATCCTAACCAGCTAACGATTTTTAAAATAAAACAATTGCTACTTAACTGGGGACACTAAAGTCATGTTAAGAATGTGGAAATCTGCCTATCAGTTGGTTTGAGAATTTTTTTTTCCAACAAACAATTTACTAGGTCTAAAGGTCCTAGAAAAGATATTTTAATCCTCTCCAACCCATCATAAAGCCCAAGTCAGTAGAGAGGGAACATTTTTTAATGCTCAGCGATCAGCTTCATTCCAACACATTTGTGAGGTACTGATCTCAATAGGCCATTTTACAATTGTGTACTTAGTTGCCAAGCCTTTGATTTAGAGTGAGGCTGAAGGTGACCTTGTTTGTGTTAGAGACCTGTATCTAGTTATCATGACAACAGAGTGATTTATATTTGAAAGGCAGCGAGGTCATAACAAGGTCACCCCTAGCCTCACTCCCGTTCAAAGGCTTGGCAACCAAGCACACAACTGTAAAAAGGACTTCATCAGATTTGAGGTCCCTATTATTGCTTATTTTTAGATTAATCACCACAAAATATTGTGGTTTTAATATGATAATAATGATAAGAATTTCGCAAACTGCTGAGGAGGATGATAGCTTAGAAGCACTTACCCAGGCTGCAGGACAGACGGAAGTGTACTGATCTTTCTCCTTTGCACAGGCGGATTCTTCGTTTCCATTTGACTTCAGGCAAGCGAAATAGCTATCTCGCGCTGCATGACATTTCTTTCTTTCTTCTCCAGTTGGAGCTGGCATTGTTAATCAAAAGACAGGGTATTGCGAAGCAAACTAATGAACACCCTCATAGACAGTTCTTCTAAATCCAGTCGCCATCTTACTTTGTAACCACCCCTTCACATGGTGTCATTGCAAAGTTATCTGGGATTGTAATGGCCGTTAGAAAGTGTTCGCCCGGTAAATACAAACACAAACAAGGACGATGCAAGTTTTGAACAAATCGTAATCGCTTCTCTCCGTTTAGCAGATTAATAACACTCCTGAGCAATATGTTAACTTGTATTTACTGCAGTTAAAACAGTTACGTAAGGCTGAGTTCAACTTCTATCAAAGATGAATTCGAGCGTGAGGTCAGATGTCCTCGATCCTTCAATGGGCAGTTTTAAACATGTGTTTCGTGGAATAGAGTACGTTGTAACCCTAATGATAGACGGGGATAAAGAAACCTTTGTCCTTGAAGTAGAAGATAGGCTTACATCTGATCAATGGAGAGGACAGTTTGACGCTAGATGTAAGTTCAAAGTGAATACACTACTCGTTCTTTTAGAATTCAGAGTTTGTACTTCATATATAGATGATATATAAAGTTTATTGAAACACCTCGTATCCCTCTCATTCTTGACAATAGGGAAACGATGATAAAGTGTTTTAACAATAATGATATATGCAACAGCTGTGTGCTATAAATTACTTCTAAAACTAGTGCAGTACGTTACCAAGAATAAATCAACTGTGATTAGGACAAGCGGAGACGTCGAAAACATCAAATCGTATGCTTGTTTAATAAACATGTTCTTCTACAAGTTCATATTCATATTTTCATATATTTCTTACCATCTGTCTTTTTCTATATCTTGTTCAGTGTTTACACTTTTGTTCCATGTTAGTGTTGCAAGTGTAGACTGCTGACTTTCAAACAACGGCAGGTGGCTGCCACTTGTTCATTACTTTGCTTCCATTTCATTTTACAATGAACTAAAAGTGGTTTTAAGCACATTTTTAATCATTTATGAATTCAAGATGGCTCTGAACTTTCCTTCACGAATGTTTATTGAATTCCAACCCATATAAGCTCATGACTATTCAGTAATTAAACAGTAGGTTCACTGTACTCATAACAGGGTTTCTATGACTGAAAACAACTTTAGGGGTGTTGTGGGAGGCTGCTTTGATAAAATTCTTATTCATGCTCGATATAGATGCTCCCTCAATAATTAGGCATTGGTTTGATGTTATAAGTTGTTATTTTTTGATTGGATGAGAAAAGGGAGCAGTGGTTCTGATTCCATAAAAGAACATGTGTTGACTTTTACAAGCCTCAAATATTTTAGTTTATAACAAGCATACCAGGGGGTAGCAATGTGTTTACTATTATAACAGTGAAGTGGCCTGTTATTTTTCAGATATAGAAGACTTGACACACAAGACTGGAAACTTTAAACAATTTACAGTTTTTGTGAATATGCTTGAGAGTGCTCTTGCAAAGGCAAGTACATTTATTTGCTGCATATGGAAATGTTGCCTGTACAGAAAACCTTTTATTCATTCAATACACACTGATCCCTGGGGCTGAACCATTTTGTCACCATGATAAGACACGGAAGTTATCGGTTGGTTGTGGATTTGATTGAGGTCGTGACTGACTGATTTAAATGCCAGCTATCAGATTCCTAAAAAAAAGCATTGGAGATATGCTTGTGCTGCTGTAATTACAATATTTAAGGTCTGAACTAGAACTAAGCTAAAAAAAAATGATACTGCTTTGAAAATGGCCATGTAGAATTGAATAGATCTTGCAATTTGCTCCTCTTCAGCTCAACCTGATAATAACTTTTTTTATAGGGCAGTAATTCAGTATCTGTTGACCTTTTGACATATGGTGACCTTGAATCCCTTCGAAATCAACAACATCACAGAACTGGATATGGAACTCAGCACATACCTGGTGCAAAAACAAGATCACAACTACATTCCAAGAGATATCTTATTATGACTTATACTGTAGAGTTTGACAGGTTAGAAGTGGATTTTTGCTGAACTCTTGCATAGGGAAATATCACTTTTATTAGTGATAAGTAAAGTTAGTGTGAATGGGGAAGGATTGGAATCCAAATTAAGAACCCTGAACAAATTTGTTTCTCACAAGCTGCTACAGAATAAGTTGTTAAGAGAAATTTATTTGCCTTATGAGTGAAGCAGAATTGTCTAGACATGTGATGGATATCTATTTAACGATGAAAGATTCAGCATTTGGGCTTGTTATAGACATCAGAGGCAGTGGGAGGATGTAAAAAGGTTGAGCATAACATGCAGGTATCTGCAGTTACAGAAAAGTAACATCTTCCCCTCCCTGCCTTCCTTTCTTTCAGTTTAACTGCTGACAAAGAATTAAGTGAAATGAATTGTTTTACTGAGATTTGTCTCAATTTTACTTTCAGGATACATTACCCTCTCCCTTTACCATATGTGGGAAAACCAGATCCAGTTCAGTTACAGGAAACAATAAGAAAACTGAGAGAAGAAAACCAACATCTGAAAGAGCAGGTGACATTAGATTTTAGTGGAGTATCACTTTTCTGGGAGCTAACTGTTTAAGTTGAATACTTGTTTCTTTGCAGCTTATGAAAGGTTCAAGAACTGCAGTACTGACACATCTTCAAAAGGAGTAAGTAACACATTATGGAGTTTACACCCATTTTTTAAACACCTCTAAAGACGTTTTAGTCAGACAAAGGGACTCATTGGAGAAGCGTGGAGCAGGGGTCATTAAAGAAATGTAGAAGAGACAAACTTTGTAAGAGGTAGTATAATTGTAAAGGGTCATCTAATCTAAAGACTTGACAACTGGTCTTTGTTTAAATAATCGGCCTCTGCTCTTCCCTCAAAGAGACTCTTCTCAGAGAAATAAAGGCTGTACTTAAGAGAGAGGCAGACATCTAAGATTAGGTTTTTGCTAAGATTTAGAATAGTAGGATTCTACAGAATCTTACATGACTTTTAAGCTCAAGTTACATAAGATGCCTTTTTCAGTTTTATTTCAGTCTTACAAGATACATGTTTGAGTTCAAAAGTTCTGTGATCCTTTAGGAATGATAAGCTTACCAAGGAAAAGTTGGAAATACAAAAACAGTTTGAGGCATTTCAAAGGGAAGTAAAGCACACTTCAAAGGCAAACACAGCTAAGGAAATAAGAGTCTTGAAAAAAGTTGTGCAGAACCTGGAGGTAAGAAGGAAATGTATAGAAATGAATGACAGTTTACAAAACTAATTGGTCCGCTAAGTTAGATCAAATGCACCGAGGAGCATTTGCAAACTCCAACTGACCAATTTTTTCCCCTTTCAGTGTCTGTTACAGGAAGATAACTTTCATTTTGACCAGGTGGATTCTCAACAGAAGACTTTTATTAAAAGTTTACCTTCCTAATAAAGGGGAAAAACTAGATTTTGTTATTTTACCAAATGAGACAAATTTCTCTGTGTAAACAAGGTTCCTTTATCACACTTCCATGCAAAGAATTGTAGTGGGTTAAGAGGGATTTGCCCTCTCTCTTTATCAATGTTTATTTTTTTCTTTAGAGTGAACTGATGAAAGAAAAAAATAAGTACCAAAGAACAATTAATAAGAAGAATGAAGAACACAGGAGCATTGTTGAAGAGGTGAGTTACATAAATCTCTAACTTAATATAAAGGGAATTTTTGTCTCTTGATGGAGTTTCATTGCTTATTACTATAATTATTTTCAATTTCATGTGTAGCTGGAGGAAATCCGTGCAAATGAGCGAAATTTAAGAGCAAGATGTAGAAGTTTAACAAACGAACTGGCCGTGTTAAAACGAGGGTGAGTGTTATGAGGGTAAATTTGTTTTAGCTTTCTTACAAACAAGGGAAAAGTTGTACTCTGCCATCTTGACAGAGATACAACTATTATATCTCTCCCTAAGCCTTTTCTGACACAAGATTATCAGTAGGTGGGAAAACTGTAGCAGAAAAAATGTTTCAAAATCGTCTGTAAGGTAGATTTCAGTCATAGAGGAAGACTGAACAACTCTTGCCGTTGCTTAGTCCCAGGCCGTCACCAGCCCAAACTAGTGGCTCGGCAACGAGAAGAGGCCGGGCTCCTCGACGATCCATCTCCCAGGAAAGAAGACCACCATCAAAGCAATCATCTGGCATGCGCAGTAGAACACCTTCACCAGCTGGTAAGTTTCGTGTAGTTTCTGAGATAAGGAGAGACTTTAAGCCTTACGCTGAGATTTCAATATTTTTTTTCAGGTGGCAGACTCCCTCGGTTTGACCCCACGGCGTATCCTTTTGCTCATCAGAAAGTTTTAAAGTAAAATTAAAAAATGGTGGATTTTTAGCTCGATCTAGGATGGTATCTGTTTTGTCTCGTCTGCGGGGCAAAGAAAAAATCTGATTTCCTCAACCAAACCCCATATCTTCAGATTTCGAACCAGTCCTCTACCCCTGAGCTAAAAAGGTCTGGTGACAAGTGGTGAGCCAAAGCCTTAACAGGCTGAAAGCCTTCTTAGACATTCTTCTTGAGAAATAACGTTAAATCAGCTTGCGAGCTTGGGGTGGCAATTCCTCACATATAAAGAATGTTGTGCCTCGAAATGGCCTGTGAGGAAGGATAGTTAAATAAGCCCTTTTCAGGAGTTCTGTGCGGATTGATGTTTCTAAATGTCAGTTAAACTGAACATAGAGCCAAGTTGCGTAGTGTGACTCCAATTACCGGAGCCAAAAGACTCTTGGTTTGTTCCAAGAAATCCTCACAGGGCCTCGTAGAATAATTAAAAAAGTTTCCTTAACAAATGAGAAGATACGTGAAAGAAAAACAAAGAAAACAGAAGGAGGCTGATGAAGCCAGAGGGTAAGGTCTTCTGAAGTTTTCTGTGTAACTTAATTACAAGAAACTAAGATCCAAAATATTCTATTTATATATGGTGCGTTGACATTGCGGTAAAATTTTCATCGATTCTCAAGCTATAAAATTATTTTCGTTTCTGGCGAAACTGAGAATATAGTTACTCCTAAAAGTCCACAGACCGTTTGTTTTCTCCCTCCCCTACTCCGTTACGCTCGTGTTCTTCAAATCTTCGGCTGCCTCTTTTTCTCTCGAGTTCAGGTCGGTAATCTGCGCGAAAAATAGGTCTGTGAACAGTGTATTGTTATTGAAATTATTACATTTTAGCCATTTGATTTTATCTTATAACCCGTACATATCCGGGGGGGCTTTGTTGAATACTCGAATAAGGACTGAACGCAATAGTGCAAGCAGCCCCCCACCCCACCCCTTCCGAGATGCGAGCTAAAGAAGATGGAAGGCGGGTTTTCGTATAATAGGATACTTATTGAATGAGGTAGGTCGGGTTGATTGGGTTGAAGTGATCAAACAAGTATCACTAAACTATAAGAAAATAAAGAGAACCAACGATAGCAAGCATGGCATGGATTCATTTGTAGAGTACGGCTGATTGTCCCACCGGACTGTATTTTAAGACTCAGTGGATTTTTCAGGTTGATTGTCCTTTTATTGTCCCATTACATTTTTTTAAAAGATCGCTTTCCAGCGGATCTGCGAGAAGAGGACGATCGAGGTCCCTATCGGCAGATCGTTTACCTCGCAAAGGCCCTAGTTCAGGAACAAGGAATCCGGGGAGCGCCTGGTCTTCAGGTATAGTGAATTGGTGAAGGGCTAGCGGTTACAAGATTACCAGTCAATAACTTAGAATTACCTCTGGGCAGGTTGAAAAAGTTTGGCGATTCACTAGGCTTATAATTGGGTACATCTTAAATGTTACGCGAAAGTGGAATGTTAGCACAAATTAGCCAGTTAGTCAGGAACTCAGACGAAAAGTCAGTAACTAAATTGAAGCTGTTTTCCGTCCCATTTAGGTGGTAAAAGAAGAACCTCGTCCAACGGGAGCCTGGGAACAAGGCGATCGTCCCAGTCTTCGTTAGACAAGGATTACATGTCTGATGACATGGAGCATGCGCAACGACGACGGCCAAGAACTAGGTCTGGATAGCAGTAATGGACTCTTTGCAGTTTACAATCGCATGGTGTATTTTAGATGGGAAAAAAGATTAAAAGCTTGAGCGCCTCAAATGGTATTGCCTTGCTTGTCCTTGGGTGGCATTCACCATCTACCAGCTCACTGCATGGCACAACTCTTTCAAGTTGGCCAAAAGGAATGAAGTTTCGCTACTTTTTCCTTTTTTTTTTAAATTCTTCACTGTCTGGGATTAACGGGTATGCTCTCAGCCCCCATGATCGTGCTGACCATTTCGAACATATTATAAGGTTTTTTAATCAGGTGGGTCGAATAAGGCCGGGCGACGACATGTTTAATGACTCATTAACTTAATAACTTGAAGCTATTCGTGGTTGTTTGTTTTCTGTCTCAGACCCAGTAACAATTCAACAGGGAAGACGAGGACTGTTGCAAAGAAAAGCTCGTGGTACAGCCCTGTGGACTCGGACATGGTAGGCTAGGTCTAATTTCGTTCTTGTTAAATCCAGTAAATTTCCTTTGAACCTTGACGCTGAAGTAGAGATTTTGCTGAAGTTACTTTGTTCTGCTTCAGGAGCGGGACATGGCAGTGAAAGTGGGACGAGTTCCGTATCCTTTTGGTTATTGACACGACCAGTTTTCTGTTGGCAGTCGGTCATCCACGCCTTGGTCACGCACGCCTTGGTCACGCACATTTTCCCAGGCGTGCTGCCTATTACACATATTCCAATCAGTTTGTGAAAAATCCATTAACGAAAAAACAGGCTGAAGTCCAAACTCCGTTGAAAATGTGCATTAACTTAATAAAATAACTTTTTTTTTCGGCTTAAATAAAAAAACAACCAAGATACGCGCGAAATGTGCACCTTAGTTTTTTTTTTCAAGGTTAAAGTTCTTTGACGTGATTGGTTAATTTGTAATATCACGCGTGCACGTTTTTTTAAAAATAATAATACAAAGGGGTGAGGAAGAAGTAAATTGTAATTTAAAATTCAAAAACCAAACAGATTTTCCTCTTATTGTAGAGGTTATTCCTTGACGTATTTGTAGTTATTCCAGCACCCCGGAGAATAGTCTTTCACACTCCAGAGCGTCTGAGAAGCACCATCATCGTGGCTCGCCATTACGAGGTAAGTGTTCGATTCAGTGGGTGCAAATGATGTATGATAGTGTGAATTTACTCCCCTTGAACATAATTCAGATTCAGTGTGAACACATTTTAACTTTGTCTATTTTTCCCGAAGACATTGGCAACGAGTCCCTGAACAGGTCAGCGGAAATGATGGAAATTGATGCGCGGCTAAACGCATTACAGAAGTTTATGAAAGAGAATATGCCGTGATGCTTCGATAGATATGCGACTTTTTTTACCAAGTGTGGATATTCATTTAACCTGTAGTATCACTGCAACAGAAATCAAGGAAATTATTCAATGGTCTTGTTACTGGTTGCAATAATGATACAGTACAGTAGACCAATTAATCATCATTGCACCAATATTTTTAGTAGGAAATGATTTTAACCATTAGTTTTATACTGTATGTATTTTTTTTTTGTCTTAAACTATGTCGTTGCTTTTAGGTTATTGTATTCTTAAATGTAAATAAATGATTTATGATCTACAGTCGAAGATAAAGTTTGTTTTGTATAACTTTAATCAGTGGTTAACAGCTACGAAACTTGAAACATTTATGGGAATTTTGAGGCCGTGTGATGAAAGTTTTCAGTTATGACTCCTTTGCTATCTCGTTAAAGACGCTATTTAGTTGAGAAATCGTCAAATATGAGTTTCCTTTACGAACGTATCTAAGCGTATCGTTTGAAGATCATCCATGCGATCCGTTGCACATTTTTTTTGGGGTTTGCAGCGCACGCAGCGGAGCCTCATATTTATACTCTCCTGTATTTATTTTTTTTTATTTAATCACTTTCACCAGAGTGTGGTGAGGGTCGCACAACAGAGCGAGGCTCCTTTTTTTGTGCGCCCTATATCCCACCCATCCCACAGTAATCTCGTGTGTGGGAAATTAACGTCTCCTACCCCAACCCTGCAGGAGACGGGACCTCCATTTATTCGTCCCTATCCGAGAAGACTAGAATATCTAACCATTTCTTGATGTTATAGAAAGGTAGCAAATTCTTCTCAATTATTTTAAGACCCTGAGTCTTGGTCCGGCCGGGGCTCGAACCCTCGACCTCCCGCACAACAGCTCAGCGCTCTATCCATTGAGCTAACCGGGATGCGGTATAATCCCTTCCCTGTATGATCTCTTCCCGGTATAACTTGAATCTCCCAAACGAGATGATCGGATCCTCTACACTCTCGAAATTATGAAACGTCTATATTCAAGGATAGGTGTTGACCTTCTAATGGTACAGTTTGCTTGGGATAGGACGGATATCGACAATCATAAAGTCAGACCGTTACTTCATAAAACTTAGTAAAGTGAGGGAGTTTCCATACGAAAAAATTGAATGAAATAAGCGTACCACGATATCCACCGCATATTTTTTTTATTTTGATTATTGAACTTGAAACTGGGAACCCCAACAGGCATTCTCAGAATTTAGTTTTAATTCGCTACCTAAAAACTAAATGTAAAATTAATTATTCTTCTGATACAAGGCTATCTTGTGTTTGTTGTAATTTTACTGAAACCCCATCTCATAATTCAGATGACACAAAAAGTTATTCCCAAATGTGCCCCTTTCTCGACCAAGAGGAACTAGATTTGTGGAGAAAATGGTTCAACAGCGACGCTGTGACGTTATGGTTCGGCGACCTCAATGTGCTACGTCCGTCCCTCAAGTAAGGTCCGTAAAGAGCTGGAGCCACTAGGAGTTGGAAGATCTTGGACAGGTGTCAGTGAGCCCACTAGTAAGGGGTTCCCATTGGTTCCTGACGATTTAGCTTTGACGGGTGGGAGTGAACCCATAAGTAAAGGGTTCCCACTGGTGCCTAACGAATTAGCTCTGTCAGAAAAAGAGATAAATACTTTGTCACACAAGGGGCGAGGGCAAACCAATTTGGCCTCAAGAGCTGCTTAATGACCTGAGTAACGTGTGTGACTACGTCGTATGTCCGAACAAGAGTCTATAAGACAATGACGATAATTTAATTGGGGTTTGTGAAAAACTCGCTACACTCACAATATTTCTATAGGCTTGATGGTTCCTGACCCTGCTCCGAAGGTATTGCTCCGCCCATTTTTACCCCGAAACAATGGATAAAGCCACTGTGTGGGCTTCCCACTACAAATCCTAATTTAATTTTAAATTTATTAGGTTCGCCGACAGGCAGGGACACCGCAACAGCTTGCGCCAATTACTGCGGGCCCAGTAAACCCACCCATCCCACCCCAGGGGAGGACATCCACCACACAGTAATCTCGTGCGTGAGAAATTAACGTCTCCTGCCCCTAACCCTATAGGAGACGGGGCCTACGGTTTTTTCGTCCTTGTCCGAGAAGACTAAAATATCTATCCATTTCTTGATAGTATAGAAAGGAAGCAAATTCTCCTCACTTATTTTAAGACCACGAGTCCGGCCGGGGCTCGAACCCTCGACCTCCCCCGCACAACACAATCCGGCGCTCTAACCAATTGAGCTAACCGGGGAGCGGTTATATTCATTTGTTTGGTTTATCAGATGCATTTACCTACTTCATTTCCTGAGTAACTTACCTCGTTACACCCTCGCCTGGTGCTGAAGTAGGAGGACGTGGCACGGCAGACTGTGGAAAGGGAGGCAGGTTAGGTGCATTACCTCTAGAGGGGGTACCAATAGGAGTCGAAGTTGCCATTGGTAGTCCTCTTGGCACGTGACTAGCTGTAGATTGCTGTGGTGTCATGCCAGACAGAAGAGGATTTGTCACTCGTCCGCTTGCTTCACCACTGGAACGAGGCACTTCAGACTCACTCTCCAGGAAACTTACAAACAACTCCGAAAACGACTAAAAAGACAAAAAGAATCGAATAAGCGAGGGACACAAAACGGGAACTTTCATTTCATAGGTAGTGTTTTGTGAAGTACCGTATACGTCAAGTACTACAGAGACTTCAGTTTTCTGCTGTGTTGACCAGACTTGAGTCCTTTAAGGTACAAAATTTCTCTTTCATACCTTTGGTGCCGAGGCTGTTGTCCTTGTGGGAGTCTTAGGGGCAATGGGACCGAACGGAATTAAATTGGAGATCCAAGATCCTGTGGGAGGTGAGGATCCAGTCCCAACCTGATGAAAAGAAAAATTAAATAAGTAAAACATCGAAAAACTACGATAGGAACACACGGGCTACGCAGTGATACCTTGTCAAGCTCCTCGTGTGTGAAGCCAAGCAAACCTCCGATGACTCGTAAAACATCCATTCGTTTGTTTTCCGGTGTATTGAAATATCCCATCAGCATGTTTTTCAGCAGCGATCTATAGAGAAAGAGAGAGAGAAAGAGAAAGAGAAAGAGAAAGAGAAAGAGAAAGAGAAAGAGAAAGAGAGAGAGAGAGAGAATTCGCGTATTGAAAACAATTAGTCAGTTAGCAACAGAAAGCAGAGTATTTCTCAAAATAGGGCAGTAGTCAATGAGAAAAAAAAAATTGTGAAAGTGTAGTGTGATCGTCAGGGTGAGTGTAGTCCTAAGAAGAACTGTTGTCGGTTGTAGTGACTCACGTTTCGACAACCTGTGCGGAAGTCATAATCAGAGTCAAGTGAATATTTGTTGTCAGTAGAATGTTCTTATTTCAGTTCGTGTAAAATGGCGGATTGGTCAGTTTTGCAGCAGTCCTTCTCAGGACTACACTCACCCGGACGATCACACTACACTTTCACATGTTACCCCCGGGTTCAAGCCATTTACTGCATTAGAGAAAAAAAAAAATGAGTCAATTGCACACTCACTTTTCAACCTTACTGTCTGACAAGCTGCTTAGGCTGCTGATTCTCTCCTGAGCAACTCGTAATTCTTCTTCCAGTCGGATAACTTTCGAGATAACAACAAGGAGGCATCAGCTGATAGAACTCAAGAACTCATCGGTTATAAAGCACATTTCAATCGTGTGTTGCAAAACCAAAACCGATGCAATCATTACAGCACATCATAACAAAAAACAATAGGAAAGTGAAAACAATCGAATTGCGTGAAGCCTGGGAAGAAACGGTAGTGACCAAGTCGCGATTGGTTAAAGGCTGATAGTTTCTAAAGAAACTGTTTGGGGCTGCGTTGGTGGGGGTAACGAAATAATTTGAATTATCAACGAAGTTGAAATGGTAAACTGGCCACCGTTACGGTTACAAAAGCCGACGTTTCGAGCGTTAGCACTTCATCGGAGCGAATGAAATGGTAAATTGGCCACCGTTACGGTTATAAAAGCTGACGTTTCGAGCGTTAGCCCTTCGTCATTCGCTCCGACGAAGGGCTAACGCTCGAAACGTCAGCTTTTATAACCGTAACGGTGGCCAATCTACCATTTCAACTTTGTTGATACATTCAAATTATCGCGATTGGTTAGTTTGTTGGTTGTGATGAACGAGTTTTCTGGGCCACTCACTGAGCGCATTGACGCAAAACTGGTCCAATTCTGGGTTACTTTCGAAACATGGTTAAAAATTGCGCTGAACCACACAATCTTGAAAGAGACTGAATGAAACGAACCTTCTTCCTTAGTTTTAAGTTGTTCCACGTCTTTGGCTTTCAGTTGGTTTCGGATGCTCACCACCTCTTGCGTTATACGAGCAGCCATTTCTAACTGACTCTAAGAAAGAAGGAAAGGAAAAAACATTTGAGATCTGCCGTGCACAACCATCATACTGTATTGAGAACATTATTATCTTCAGGCAAACTCTGCGCACCTTCATGTGATTTTCTCTCTGTTGCAGTTCTTTAACTTGTGCCCAGGCCATATCAACCCGTTTCTGTGCCTCTTCTTGAGTAGCTCTCAGCTGAGATTCACGTTCTAAAAGGAGCAATGAAAAAAAAACTGCACGGTAGTAACAAATATCTACGCCGCAATACACATTGATTAATAAGAAGTTCTACCTCTTTGGAACTGTTCAAGAACAAGCTGTAGATTGGTGAGAGCGGTCTGGTATTGATGCGCCTGCTCCTGAACCGAGGCTAGATCCATGACCGCGCGATCACGTTGAGCCGCTATGGCCTGGAGTTGTTCCTGGAGGTTTTCAATCTGTACAGATGCTTGGCGACTAAAAAAAAGCCATAGTAGCTGTTATCAATACCGGTTGTCCAACAAATGTGCACTTTTTACACCGTTAGAGTGCTATATGACAATCAAAACGTCGGTAATCCTTTGCACTGTTCGGCCTACACCTATTTGATTCTCTTGTGGTTAGCACTAATATCACTCCTGAGACGTAGAGTTTGGTTGTCTGAATGGTTCAAACCATTTGGTTCTATGGCAAGTTTATTGTGAAGTTTTCTGTGCGCAAAGAAGTTCGTGTCATTATTTCCGTTTGTTCTGGCCTGCCCTGTCTGTATCCTTTGATTTCAACAACTAATTGACAAAGTAAGTCGAGCATTGCCATAGACGCAGCCATTAGCAAGGGTAGAGTGTATTTCAAAACAGATTTGTGTTGTGCCTTACTCTCTGTCCAGCATGGAGTGTGAACTTGATAACAGCTGTTCTTCTGCACGAGCCAACTTCACCCTCAGGTCCTTCTCTCGCTCCTCAGCCTCGAGGGCCTCGCGAGTGTAGCTCTCTTCAACCTAAAAGCGAGTGACAAATTGCCTTTCAAGTCTCCTATAATTTATCTAAATCTTAGTTTTGTCTGACAAGCCAAAAAAATGCAGCCAAAAGGGTGATCTATCCCCCCCCCCCCATATCTACAAATGAAAACCAATGCATGTTTGTAAATTTGTCGAAATCACCGCGAAATTCTCTTCGAGTTTTGTCATTCGTTCCTTACGATGGACCACGCCCTTTTTCACGGGGAAAGGGAGGGGGGGAAGGGAGATTTGCCATACCTGTACTAAGTGATTTCTGAGGCGGTCTAATTCCTGCGCCATCTTAGTTTCAGCCACCTTCTGTCCACTACTGGCGGTAATCAACTCCTCTTGAAGTTGCTGAATGCGGAATTGCAGTTTCTCCTGTGTCCTCTGTAACTGTTCCCTCTCAAACGTCATGTCCTTTACAATCCTCTCTTTCTCCTGCAGCGTCATCTTGTATTGGTCCACCTCTCTGTTAAAACTGGTAATAGTCGCTCGCTCTTTTGTCAGAATGCCTTTCAGATCGTGCAGCTCAGCTTGTAGTCTGCTTATCTCACCTTTCTGTTGTGTTTTGGCATTACTAACCTCCTCTCTATCCCTGTGGGCTTGCTCAAGCTCATTTACAATACGCTCTTTCTCTTGGATTACACGCTGCAAGTCCTGATGTGATGAGCGGTCCTTTTCACTGACCGCTCGACTGAGACTCAAAATCTGATCTTGCAATTCTGCTACAGTCGATTCGTTCTCGCGCAACAAGTCTTCCTTCTCATTGCGTGACTGTAATAGCATCCTGTGTAACTCTTCTTTGTCACGCAATACACGCTCTAACTCTGACCCATGAGCCTCGGTGGTTTTGTTTAGTAACTTAACGTTTGAAAGCTGTTCCCGCAGAGATTGAATTTCATTATCTCGTTCCCTGAGAGCACTATTTCGCTGATTTTTCACTGTATGAAGCAAGGATTGAAAATTCTTGTCGATATTGTCTACATTTTCTTCCCCATTGCTTTCAGAGTCTGTTACCGAGCGTACAAGCTGTAAAATTTTGCTTTTTAACTCGCTTGTTTCAAAGTCTTTCTGTTCTAGAATCTCGTCTCTTTCACTTTTGACGTTTTCCAGTTCAACTAAAATGGAACTTTTTTCATTTCGACCGTTTTCTAAAACTTTTTTTAGTTCTTTGTCTTTGGATTCAACAATATTCCCCAACGAATTAACTTGTTTTTCCAATTCTTTCAATTTGTTGTCACTCCTTGCTAAATTCGATTTTTCTAGGGACAGTTCACTGAGTTCTGATTGTACATTGGTCAACTGTTTGGAGAGATCCTCATTGTCAGCCAGCAATTTGTTCGCTAAATTACATTTTTCATCTAAAGTTTGACTCACTGATAACTGATCTTCCTGTAGTTTTGATATTTCAATGTCTTTCAGTTCTTTTTCTCTTAATGCCGAGTCTCTCTCTCGCAATAAAACCTCTCTTTCTTCCCGAAGTCTCCTCAACTGCGGTTCCATCCCTTGTGGGGAGGGGTCTGGAGAATCTGTCCTTGCCAACAGCGCAAGAGTGGAAATTTGTTTGTCTTTCTCTTGAATAAGAGTTGTTAAAGTTTCATGTTCAACTTGCAGCCCGTTTATTTGACGTCTTAGCTGGTTGTTGTCCTCTTGCAATCTTTGGGACTCACTACTTTTAGTCCTGTTGTACTCTTCAACAAGTTTCTGCAGCGCTGAGTTCCTTTCTCTCAATTTACCCATCTCATTCGCTTGAGACTCGTTCAAGGCAAGCAATCGCGCATGTTCATTGTGTAGCAAGTGTGAAGCTTGATCTTTACTATTCATCTTCTCTCTCATGGCATCAAGTTTGTCTTCAAAAGTCAGTAACTCTTCATTACGCAGATTCAAGTCATCTAACAACCTATCTCTCTCCTCCCTTATTTGTTGTAACTTGCCTTCATATGCCTCTTGTACTCGATGACTGTTCTGATCCGTTTGATTCACAAGTTCAATCAGAGAGGCGTCTTTCTGTTTCAGAGCTGCTATTTCCTGATCTTTCTCTTCCAGTAGCCTCAACAGCTGCGCCTGTCGATACATAGCATCATCAACGCCTTGCGCCCCAACGTTTGAAGCATTTACGACTTGAGTATGAATGACTTGTTCCTTCTCTTTCAGGGCTTTGGACAACTTTGCCAAGTCTAACTTAAGAAGATCTATGTCAGACCCTTTCTCTCTTAGATCAAGTTCCAGCTTATCAACCTGTAAATCTTTCATTCCCAGTTGTTTGGATATTTCTTCCTTCTCTCGGATGTTCACCAACAAATTCTCTTCTAACTCTTTACAAGTCTTGACGTGGCTTTCGGCCGCCACAACAAGCTTGCTATTCTCCTCTTTTAACACTTCAATCTCTACAGACTTTTCTTTGAGTTCAGAAATAATTTTGTCTACCTTTGCACCGCTTTTTTGAAGTTCGAGTTCAAGATTTTCCTTTATTCGCGAAAGAACCATTTGTTTTGCATCCAGGTCGCTACATCTGGCCTCGGTAATTTGAATTTTATGATTTAGCTGCTCAAGTTCCTTTACAAGGTTAGATCTCTCTGTGGTCTGTTTTTCCTGAACTTGAACCTTCTCTTTGTATTCTTCAATTAAACTTTGCAGAACTTCTTTTTCCATCAACATACTGTTGTTCTCTGCCACTAGTGACTCGATTCGTTTCTCTCTTTCTTGGACCATTCTTTCGAAATTTTCTCTTTCTCCTTCTACATTCTCAAGTTGTTTGTCCTTTTCAGTTAATAACAATTCTAGGCCTTTTTTTTCCGCAGTAAATTCGTGTTGACTTTGTTGATTCTGTCCCATGATATCAAGCAAGTCGTTATTTTTGCCTCTGAGTAAGGAGCATTCTTGGCGAGTTTCTTCTAAAAGTTTTACCAAATCTTGTTGCTCTGTTTGAAGAAGGCTTATTTCATTATCCTTTGAGCTGGTAAAGTCTAGCAAATGATTATTAAAGCTTTCTTCAATTTCACAAATTCTCTCGTCTCGTTCATTGATCATCATCATTAAATCTCTTTTTTCATCACAGATGGTTTTCACTTCAACATTTTTCGCCTCAAGCTCACTTTGCAAATCATTTAGTTTGGAAGTTTTTTCGTCAATTTGTTGAATAAGTTGCTCCGTCTGCACTCGTACAAGTGAATTGTCCTCTCTTAACTTCTCCACGCATTTATTTAGGTCTTGACGTAGTAACCGCATTCGGTCCTCGTCAAGTTCAGAATCATTTTCTACGCGTGAACGGCTAATGTCAAGTGAGATAAAGTCTTCCTCTAATGTTTGCCACACCTCCATAAGATGCTTGTTTTTAGAAGAGATTTCATCGTTTTCTTGTCGAAGTCGCGCAATTTCCTCTTCACCATGGCTGTTACCCAAGAACACTTGCAGCTCCTTCACCTGTTGTCTAAGATTCAACACCAGACCTTCAAGAGCATCCTTTTCTCCCTCCCAATCCTTTTGCGCCAATTCAAACTCTTCTAACTGCAGTTGGTACTCTTGGATCCGTTGCTTCAGCTCAGAAAGCTCTAATTCCTCGCTGATTGCGCTCTCGTTACCTGGAAAGACGCCAGTTTCTTGTAACAGCTCAGTTTCCTGCCTAATATCGGGCTCAATGGAGACGTCGCTGATTCTCCTTAGGTCTCCCATATCGATAGATAATTCAGCTTCCCGAGGTGTGCTACCTGTGAAACTGGCCACACTCTCGGCTGATCCTGACCTGCTGTCTACACCATCCACACCCTCGTTGTTCTTATTCTTCAGCGAATCCGAACGCTCTCGTCTCTCATCTTGAAGCTTCTGCTGCAGTCCGACAATAGTACTCTCCAACACTGCTTTCTCGGCCAACCATACCACAATATCATTACGTGCCTCTTCGTCATTCCCCTGTTGCCTTCCTATCTCTGTGACACAGTATTTTGTTTCGTGTGCTACCTGTTCATTGTCTGATTGCAAGTCCATCACACCACCTTCCAATTCCTCTACCGTGACTTCAAGCTCCGCTGATTTGCTCATCATGGCTTCCTTCTCTTTCTCAATATGTTCCAGTTTAGCCTGGTTACGATCTTCCAGCCTTTGCTGAAGGACTTTCAGGTCATCACGGACAGTGTTAGTACTGAGCTGTTAAAATGAAAAGCATATGATCATCAGCTGAAGGCTATAAAATGCGGAACTAAAACGTTAAAGAATAAGAAATGTGATTCTATTTAAGTTAAGAACTGTTGCCATCGTTTTCCAAAAGAACACAAAACTTAAAACAGAGAAAATAATAATTTAAAAAAAAAAACCTAAAACAATGAAAACAAGAAGCAACTGACGTCTTTGTCAAAAGCAATTTTGTACTGTAGGTATTGCCTGTCTTACTAGCGATAACTTCGTCCATAAAACTACTAACTCTCAGATCAGTTCAGACATTATCTATAACAAAAAAAGAACTTGGAGAAATACAGAACACATTATATTTCGATGAAATGCTATCTCACACTGTGATAAAGACCATTACGTGGAATTAAATCATGCCACATGTATGTGATGGGAAGACTACTGGTTAATTTGTTATTAAGCGAGGGTTAAAAAAATGGTCATGATGCATGTTTTAACTATGACATGTGAAACAAATTTTAATTAAAACAGAATTGCAAGCTAACAAAACACGTATGATGTATTAAGGGGGCTGTGCAGGAAAACATGTGTGTGTCAGGACACCATTGCATCAGATGAGAGGAATAAACGCAGTTCAACTAAGGTCAGCAGAAGTGCATTAAAAAAGGGCAATTTTTAGGGAAATAAAAAAAACTGAAATATTTTTGACCAAAAACGAAAAAATAATGTACTGTTGATGACTTGTTTTGAATAACTGATTTGCTTGACAAGAATTTCACCAGAGACACCTATCTTTTGAATTGGAAAAGGGCTGCAAAACAGCAAGAACAACTGGAAAATGTTCTTTTTTTAGTCTGAAACAACAACATAATTCCACACAAAAATTTTTCACAATTTATTTTAAAAGCTCTGCTAGCCTGTCTTTTTCTTTATATTTGTCATCATGTTAAATAACACTTAAACGAGTTATTAGCTGGTCAGCAGGCACTCCTTGAGTAATAATTTCAGTTAAGAAAGTTGCAAACCAGGTTTTCTTAATGCCCACTCGTGTTTGGCTTTTCTAAACTTGTTAGCTTCTGCAAGTTCCAGACATACATTTGGATGAGTCAGAAAATTGACATTAGTAAAAGGTGGCACAGTTCCCCACCCATCTCTCCCTGCACAGCAACCTGTTAAGAGAGGTGCATTACATGTTGAGCCTGGAACATGGCCATAAGCCTGGCGTTACTGTTGTTCAATTCATGTCTGACCTGCTGGTAGAGCTGCACCAGACACAAATGGCGCTCCCACAGAGCTGCAGAGATAAACAACGAGTTCTCTTTAGTTCAATATGTATTTTATGCGTGTGGGACACTAAAATATTATGTCTGGATACCTAATTAAAACTTGTCAAAAGAGAATTAAGGAAAATCATGATCATACCAACAACAGCACGAATGTACTGTAGCAAAAAGGGATTTAATGAGCAGGAAAAAAGCTGCACAAAAAAACAATGTGAAATCCCCAATGTTGCATACTGCCAGAACATGAATTTGTGCTGCAATTAATTTATGTTTATGTTCCTAAATCAACCCTGCATTCACATTTTATGCTGAAGTGAAGATGGTGCCAGAAATGAAAGTTCCTTTTCTAAGTGACATTTTCCCAGGAATTGCTTTCATGACATCTCAAACTCCCTTACCTGCATATCACATCAAAAGGATAGTAAAGAGTAAACCAATGATACATTTCTGAATTACATACATCACATTTCTTTTACACATGACTATTTAGAGATTTTGTATCATCTGATTCAATAATTAAATATCACATAATGCAAAACTTCAGGGCAATTGTCTTGTTTAGGACATAGCTAGCAGAGCCGCACAATAAAATTCAGTATACGTAAGTGTGCTCAAAATCCTGATAGTGCATGCTGATAGCATGAGCAAATTGCTTCGCCAGAAATGTTTTTTCGTGCGAGCGGCCATTGTTAGCGCAGGGAAAAATAATACATTTTGCGACAATAATGGATACAAACAGAAACTCGGTTTACTAGTCCCAAAAGGAAGATTATTTTTCGACCTTTTCCTTTGGGCTAGAGTTCTTAAATGAGGCAGAAAAAGAGAAAAACAACGGAAAAGGAGACTTGGCATCAGCGCTGTCGCTTCAATTGATATTGTTGTCAGTTTTTTGTGTCGGATTTCATGCACAATTCCACCGGCTATGTTCGAAAACAATTAGTTCATGCTTTCAGCTGTGCACTATCGAGTTATGGAGCATGTGGGAAGTTTGGAGAGCACTCAAGAAGCTAGAGTTGCCCTCTGCTATTGCCTCGGGCAACTCTTACGCCTCTTTGGTGCTCTCCAAACTTCCCGCATGCTCCATAACTGGATAGTGCACGCTAAAGCATCAACTAATTCTTAAGTAATACTATCTACGACTAATTGACACAAACTGTGAGCTACTGACATGCCCACATATTGAAAAATTAAAAGTTTTGAGTTACAAAGTAACAAACTTACTTATGAATCACATTCAGAGAATTTTAAAACCTACCAGCCAGTGCATTCCTTAATTTTCCCATCTCTTTCTTGGCATCTCCTTTGATGTACTTCACCTTCTTCAAATTGTCCAGCTCAATCTTCTGTTCTTGTTGAAGATCCTGAGATAATTGAAGTTCTTCCATTAAATCCATGGTTGAAGAACTAAGCTGTTCTAGCTCAGACTTCACCTCCTCCACTGAGCGATGAAGTCTCCTCTCCTCTGCATGACTTTGACTGAGACGTTTCTTAAATTCTGCATTCTCTGCTGCTACAACGTTGAGCTCTTCTTGTAATTTATGAAGGCCTTCAGAGTCAGATCTCAAAACCAGCATTTCCTTACTTTGATCCTCGAGATATTTTTGGAGTTTTTCCACTTCACTCGTGCTCAGATTTAATTTACTTTCATAGTCAGACAAAGTTTGGTCATGCACAGAACCTGCATCTTGCAATTTAGCTTGCAAGTCATTGAAATCCTTTTGCATTGTCATAATAGCTTGATCTTTGTCTTGGACTTCCATATTTAAAGTATTAATCTGCTGCTCTTGAGTTTCAATCTGTTTTTTAAGTTCAGCAATGGACTCCTCAGCAGTGGCCAACTGATTCTTTAGAGACAACACTACATCTGTGTTATCATTTGCATGATCAAAAGCCTTTTCAAAATGAGATACACTTTCTGTCTCTGAAAAAAAAAGGAAACAAAACAATGTATTATATGAATATTTGCAGAGTGAGTTTTTATTATTATCAATTATTGGTGAATAACCTTATTCCAATGCCTCTGAACTTCAGAAAATCAATCCTTCACAAACTGAATGAACCTCAAACTTCATTTACTAAGATGTAATTACTGATAGCTCTGTTAGGCCCTGGACTATAAGCAATCAAAAGAAACATACCACTGTACTTAAGAAGCGTCTCTTCCAATTCTTCAATCTTCTGTAAAAATTCCTCTTTCTCATCTTGCCAGTTTTGTAATTCTTGTTTATGCTTTTTGTTCAAATTAGCTATCTTTTGCGAGTAGCTGCTCTGCAGTGCAGTCAATTCCTGTTGATATTGATCTATTTCTTTGTGCAGTTTGTCCTGATTTTCCTGTTAAGATGAAAGTGCAAACAAAATGTATCCAAAACAGAAGAAACTTGGGAACATAAAAACAAGCACTATTATACGTTGTTAAATCATTAAAAAATTCATCCAAAAATCATATATAACTGTATCTTATGTCACTGATAACATACACTGTTTAGTTGACGCTTAAACTCGCAAGATCCAGTTCGTGATTCTCCTTACTAACTGTCATACTACTCCTTGCAAACAAGATGAGAGAATTTGGACTAATTCCAAAATAACACCGTCTAAATGATTAACTTGTCTGTTCTCATAACCTGTTTGCAAGACAACTTATTGGAATTGCAGGAGAAGTTACATGTTAATCACTTCTTGGAGCTTAGCAGTGAAGAGGTAAACTTTTATTCCAGGTATGAGGTTTCAATACAACATTTTAGCTGGAGGATATTAATATGATGTACTATCAAATTCTCTTGTCTCATATACAAAGAAATGTATGGCAGTAGGAATGGAGATTTATTACTCAGATCATGGCAGGTGGATCGCATAAAGCTTCTGTTTCACTCTCCTCTTCTCACTTACCACTCCATTTGCTATGGATTTCCAGTGTTGGCATTCAGCCTGCAGTTTTGAAATCTCACTCTGCAATCTTTTCATCTCCATGGAATCTTCAATGCTGTCAGTAGAGTCATGCCTCTCTCTACTTCCAAGATTGTGACCATTTTCCTCATGAAATCTTCCAACTTCTTTTAGTTTGATCAACTCTTGCTGTTCAATCAGAACAAACAGTGAACTTATTCAGGAAGGTATGTGCGAGGTGAAACAAGGAACGTCAAATTACTTCTCCGTTATACAAATCATATGGTATATGACATACTTTTGTTCCAAATTTGAAAAGAAATCAAATACAATCTGATTACAACTGTCTCTCTCTAATTACAAATTACACCACTTTCTAGATTGAGAGTTGTTGTTAAAAAGTTTTCCAGTACATAGTGCCAAACAGATGGGAAAGAGTTAAAACCACTTAATCTTGGAAAGTATCACTACTGCTAGTTAGAGACAAATTTATTTTTACATCTAAGACTTGTATGTGACTTTTTAAAAGCTCAAAGCTTACAACATGTTTCTTATTTGATTGTAAATTCAGCTTTAATTTTCCAAATTTTTACTGTTCAGAAGACCATCTGCTTCAAAACAAGTTGATAGTCTAAGTCATATAAATAGAACTCTGATTAATTACCTCTTTGCTTTGCAACTGAGCTCTGTAATCCCTTGATATGCTGTTCATCTGAAGCTCTGCCGCTTCAAGTCTCACATGAAGTTCATCATTATTTTCTCTCAGCCTTTCGTACTAATAAAAAAAAAACAACAACAACCTGTTAACTCTTTAAATCCTAAGAGTGATCAGCACCTAACTTCTCCTTACCTTAACACTGCTGAGTCATTCATTAACATCATCAGAATGAAGGAAATGATCACCGGCCTACATAGCTTTGATTGGTGAAGAAATTCTCTTTAACAATGCTTGAGGAAATGTATAGAGAAGAGTAAGGAGAATATAGAGACTGATTTTAGGAGTTGCCCAAAGCTAAGTGGTTTCCTGCAGGTTTTCAGGTTAGGGAAGTGTGCAGAAAGCCTTGCTGCTGTTCTGCATCTCATCAAATTAACCAAACAATAATTTCATGTAGTTTCAGACAAGCAGCAGTTGATAAAACAGCAAAATCTCATCAACCGAACAGCAATCACAAAAAAAAAAAAACAATAAGTATTGTGACAAATTGGACAATACAAATCTAACCGACATATCTGAAAAAGGAAAGTAATCTGTAAGGAACAAACAATAGCTCACTGTTGCATATTGTACCCTACTTTAATTCTACTCCATCTTTAACCCACAAAACGTTCATATTCTATTATCCAGAAAGGCAAAACTATGCAATGTATCATTGACAAACTTGGTCACGCATCGGTGATACCTTAAGTTATCAGTTTTAAGTGTTTTCTTCAATACAACACTCCTTCACAATTAAAGGTATTGATTTACAAGTGACAAAAATACTCACCTCGGCCTTTTGAGTTATAATATGTGATTCGAGCTCATTTATTCGCCTCTGTGCAACTTGAAGCTCTGCTGATGGGTCTGAAGATAAGAGGAAACGCTTTGAGGGCTCAATGCAACAGTGAAACTTAAGGAAGTTGATGCAAGTGTACATGTAAATATGTAAATTACACTTATCCGAGTCCTTTTGAGGCAAAACTAAAAACGAAAGCTTTTTCAGTTTACTTCGTTGCAGTATACTAGTACTGTTAAGCCGTTAAAAAAGGAAATGGTTGCACGAAGATCACACGAAATTGAAATACTGACCCGGCAAGGGTCGGCTCCAGCTTACCTGAGACCTCCTCTGTCCCTTCTGTTAACATTTCACGAGTGAAGGAAGAAATCTGCCCAGTGAAATTAGAAATACTTGATAGGCTGTCTGTTAAATTACTACTTAGCCAGGAAGACATTTTGAATAAAAATCAAAACGATAAAAATAATGCAAGCACCAAAGAGGTAACACTATTTGGATGAGTGAATGTATGATGTGGCACTCCGTCTCAGGTAGTACGATCTCGATGATTGGCTGACGATTGTCGACGTCCAAATTGTGAACTATGAGCCCGCGCTATAGAACACCCGTTTGGATGAATAAGAATGTCATACATGACATCACAAAGCAGACCTTCGTCTGATTGGCTCTGATTGGCTGCTTTATGCCGTTCGTGTCCAGTTTTCCTTACAACGCGCAACCGGCGGTGAATAATAAACAAAGATGGCTACTGATCACTGAAGGGTAGGAGTTCTGGGAATAATTGTTCAAGACAATGACTTATTCCCAAGGGTTTTGAATATATACATATATCTTATTAGACGTTTTGTTGCGTGGTATCGCTCATTATTATCCAACTACACTTAGACGAGTACAAAGATCACGCGGTATTTGTACTCGTCTATTGTAGTACCGGTTAAACAGGTTTTCTCGCATCACGCCAGCGAAGAATTGGATTGTAGTTACGAGAAGAAAAAAACAAATGGCGGACAATTTGAATCATATTTCCGACGACGAAGAGTCAGAATGGCAGGCAAATATAGATCCAAGTTCATTTGATGAATCGAACGAAGAAAAACAGCTTGACGACGAGAAAATAGCCAGCAGATTTAGATTTGGTAACTGTGGAGGATTGGGGCGAGGAAATATCCTTTCCCTCCCTCTCCCCCGTTGCCCATTTTTCCACTTAAGATGGCTCGTACCGTTTTCATCTTTTTGATGGTTTGTAACTTTGAAAGAATACAACAGAAAGACTGACCAAGGCCAGTTGAACACTTTTACGGGGTTGAATTATATAATAATTGGTTATCCAAAAATAGGTGTCATTTCGTCACTAGCAGTTTCCATGGCAACGCTTTCATAGGCGTATTAAGACGCANNNNTCTGGGCAGCTAAGGTACATGAGAAATTAGGGAAAAAAAGGAAAAAGGAAGTAAAAACAAATTTAGTCGCGCACTGGCCCTGTATCGAACTCTTGACCTGCTATGACCGCCGCCCGCACGTTAAGGTGAATCAGTGACAGTCCGGACCGGAGTTCCGCTTTTTCTTTTTCTTTTCTTTTTCTTCCTTTTTGTTCTTTTTTTTTCTTCTTCCTCCTTTTTAATGACCATTGACGTTGAAAATACTTTCGGCAGAGCAATTTTACCACGTTTAATAGGTCATGGCAAAAGCTGACGAAAAGGTTCAACTTTGACAAAGTGCGGACAAGCGACTTTTTATTCAAACAAAACCGACAGGCCTAATAAAGCAGCCGTTCCCATGTCGAGTCATATAATTAGTGTAGGAGTGTAGGAGAATGATGTTGATTGACACCTGTCAATCGGGTTTGACTTTTGAAAAAAACACCCCACAATTAAAATGTCATTTGAAAACAACTATGATAAAATGTCAAATGTTGCAATCTGTGATTTGCAGGTCTACTCATTGCTGTAAGACTAAAGTCATAAGAAATATATTATAAGTTTTTATAAATTTAAAATTAGGCGAACAAATGGTTTTTGTGAAATAGACAAGCATTCATTTCATCGACTGTAACTCGATAAGCCTCATTTTTTTTACCTTTCAAATTTTGCAAGCAATTACTACATGAGCTGTTTTATGGTATCTGTGAGAAAGTATCAAATGAATTCATCAAAACGCATACGATTTATAGCGCGTAAAAAAAAAAAGAGTACAAAAATGAAAAAAAAAACATTTAATTATTTTAATCGAAACTACTTTCAAAGCAAATCACATCCGTGTAAAATTAGTAACAAACCCAAAAAACTTATTCTTTTGGGTAATTTTTAAAAGGATAAAAAGCACTTCCGCAGAGCCTAATTATTTGACCAGTCAAATAAGAAAATTCTTTCAAAATTATCAAAAGCATCATTTTTACGTCATGCGTTCCGTGGAAGTGGCAGGCGTGAGTACGAGCCTCAACCCTTGCGTCACTAGTGTGCCTCAGAGTGCACGGGCGTTTCACNCTTTGTGTCTCACTCTCACGCATGCCACTCCGGCGTGCGTGATTTCCCGGAGTTGCGCGCCTAATCCCTAAGGTCCCTTGGGTCTAATGAGCCTGGGATTCCATTTTGGCCGCGTTCTCATGCGTTCCGTGAAAGTGGCAGGCGTGACTACGAGCTTCAACCCTTGCGTCGCTGAGGTGCCTCAGAGTGCACCGGCTGTCACTCTCACGCAAGCCACTCCGGCGTCCGTGACATCCTGGAGCTGCGCACCTATTCCAAAGGAAAATCCCTTGGGACTAGTGAGCCTAGGTTTCCATTTTGGCCACGTTGCCTTGCGTTTCGTGGAAGTGGCAGGCGTGAGATCAAGGCTCACTCCTTGTGTCTTACTCTCACGCATGTTACTCCAGCGTGCGTGATCTCCCGGCGTTGCGCGCCTATTCCCAAGGGAAGTCCCTTGGTACTAGTGAGCCTGGCACTCCATTTTGGCCGCGTTGTCATGCGTTTCGTAGAAGTGGCAGGTGTGACTTCAAGGTTCACCCCTTGTGTCTCACTCTAACGCATGCCACTCCGGCGTGCGTTATTTCCCGGAGTTGCGCGCCTAATACCTAAGGTCCCTTGGGTATAGTGAGCCTGGGATTCCATTTTGGCCGCGTTCTTATGCGTTCCGGGGAAGTGGCAGGCGTGAGTACGAGCTTTAACCCTTGCATCGCTCAAGTGCCTCAGAATGCACCGGCAGTCACTCTTACCCAAGCCACTCCGGCGTCCGTGACATCCCGGAGCTGCGCGCCTATTCCCAAGGGAAGTCCCTTGGGCCTAGTGATCCTGGGACTCCATTTTGGCCGCGTTGTCATGCGTACCGTGGAAGTGGCAGGCGTAAGTTCAAGGCTCACATCTTGTGTCTTATACTCACGCATGCCACTCCAGCGTGCGTAATTTCCCGTAGTTGTGCGCCTAATCCCTAATGTCCCTTGGGTCTAGTGAGCCTGAGATTCCATTTTGGCCGCGTTCTCATGCGTTCCGTGGAAGTGGCAGGCGTGACCACGAGCCTCAATCCTTGTGTCGCTCAAGTGCCTCAGAGTGCACCGGCTGTCACTCTCACGCAAGCCCCTCCGGCGTACGTGACTTTTCGGAGCTGCGCGCCTATTCCCAAGGGAAGTCCCTTGGGCCTAGTGAGCCTGGGACTCCATTTTGGCCGCGCTGTCATGCGTTCCGTGGAAGTGGCAGGCGTGAGTTCAAGGCTCACCCCTTGTTTCTCACTCTCACGCATGCTACTCCGGCGTGCATAATTTCCCGGGGTTGCAAGCCTAATCCCTAAGGTCCCTTGGGTCTAGTGAGCCTGGGACTCCATTTTGGCCGCATTGTCATGCGTTCCGTGGAAGTGGCAGGCGTGAGTTCAAGGCTCACCCCTTGTTTCTCACTCTCACGCATGTTACTCCGGCGTGCATATTTTCCCGGGGTTGCAAGCCTAATCCCTAAGGTCCCTTGGGTCTAGTGAGCCAGGGATTCCATTTCGGCGGCGTTCCCATGCGTTCCGTGGAAGTGGCAGGCGTGATTACGAGCCTCAACCCTTGCGTCGCTCAAGTGCCTCAGAGTGCACCGGCTGTAAGTCTCACGCAAGCCACTCCAGCCTCCGTGACTTCCCGGAGCTGCGCGGCTATTCCCAAGGGAAGTCCCTTGGGACTAGTGAGCCTGGAACTCCATTTTTGCCGCGTTGTCATGGGTTACGTGGAAGTGGCAGGCGTGAGTTCAAGGCTCACCCCTTGTGTCTCACTCTCACGCATGCTACTCTGGCGTGCGTGATTTCCCGGAGTTGCGCGCCTAATCTCTAAGGTCCCTTGGGTCCAGTGATCCTGGGATTCCATTTTGCTTGTGTTCTCATGTGTTCCGTCGAATTGGCAGATGTGACTACGAGCCTCAACCTTTGCGTCGCTCAAGTGCCTCAGAGTGAACCGGCTCTCACTCTTATTCAAGCCACTCCGGCGTTCGTGACCTCCCGGAGTTGCGCGCCTATTCCCAAGGGAAGTCCCTTGGGACTAGTGAGCCTGGGACTCCATTTTAACCGCGTTGTCATGCGTTCCGTGCAAGTGGCAGGCGTAAGTTCAAGGCTCACCCCTTGTGTCTTACTCTTACGTATGCTGCTCCAGCATACGTGATTTCCCGGAGTTGCACGCCTAATCCCTAAGGTCCCTTGGGTCTAGTGAGCATGGCATTCCATTTTGGCCGCGTTCTCATGCGTTCCGTGGAAGTGGCAGGCGTGAGTTCAAGGCTCACCCCTTGTGTCTCACTCTCACGCATGCCACTTCGGCGTGCGTGATTTCTCGGAGTTGCGCGCCTAATCCCTAAGGTCCCATCTGTCTAGTGAGCCTGGGATTCCATTTTGGCCGCGTTCTCATGCGTTACCTTGAATTTGCAGGCGTAACTACGAGCCTCAACCCTTCCGTCGCACAACTGCCTCAGAGTGCACCCGCTGTCACTCTTACGCAAGCCACTCCGGGGTCCGTGACTTCTTGGAGCTGCGTGTTTATTCCCAAGGGACGTCCCTTGGGACTAGTGAGCCTGGGACTCCATTTTGGCCGCGTTCTCATGCGTTACGTGGAAGTGGCAGGCGTGAGTTCAAGGCTCACCCCTTTTGTTTCACTCTCACGCATGTCGCTCCGGCGGGCTTAATATCACGGAGTTGCGCGCCTTATCCCTAAGGTCCCTTGGGTCTAGTGAGCCAGGGATTCCAGTTTGGCCGCGTTCTCATGCGTTCCGTGAAAGTGGCAGGCGTGACTACGAGCCTCCCTCAACCCTTGCGTCGCTCAAGTGCCTCAGAGTGCACCGGCTGTCACTCTTACGCATGCCACTCCGGCGTGCGTGATTTCCCGGGGTTGCGCGCCTAATCCCTAGGGTCCCTTGGGTCTAGTGAGCCTGGGATTCCATTTTACCCGCGTTCGTATGCGTTCCAGGGACGTGGCAGGCGTGACTACGAGCCTCAACCCCTGCGTCGCTCAAGGGCCTCAGAGTGCACCGGTTCTTACTCTCACGCAAGCAACTCCGGTGTCTGTGACTTCCCAGATCTGCGCGCCTATTTCCAAGAGAAGTTTCTTGGGAGTAGTGAGACTAGGACTCCATTTTGGCCGCGTTGTCATGCGTTCCGTGGAAGTGACAGGTGTGAGTTCAAGGCTCACCCCTTGTGTCTTACTCTCACGAATGCCACTCCGGCGTGTCTGATCTCCCGGCGTTGCGCGCCTATTCCCAAGGCAAGTCCCTTGGGACTATAAAGCCTGGGACTCCAATTTGGCCGCGTTGTCATGCGTTCCGTGGAAGTGGCAGGCGTGAGTTCAAGGCTCACCCCTTGTGTCTCACTCTCACGAATGCCACTCCGGCGTGCGTGATCTCCCTGTGTTGCGCTCCTATTCCCAAGGGAAGTCCCTTGGGACTAGTGAGCCTGGGACTCCATTTTGGCCGCGTTGTCATGCGTTCCGTGGAAGTGGCAGGCGTGAGTACGAGCCTCAACCCTTGCGTCGCTTAAGTGCCTCAGAGTGAGCCGGCTGTCACTCTCACGCAAGCCACTCCGGCGTCCGTGACTTCCCGGAGCTGCGCACCTATTCTTAAGGGAAGTCCCTTGGGACTAGTGAGACCGGGACTCCATTTTGGCCGCGTTGTCATGCGTTCCGTGGAAGTGGCATGCGTGAGTTCAAGGCTCACCCCTTGTGTCTGATTCTCACGCATGCCACTCCGGGGTGCGTGATTGCCCGGAGTTGCGCGCCTAATGCTTAAGGTCCTTTGGGTCTAGTGAGCCTGTGATTCCATTTTGGCCTCGTTTTCATGCGTTCCGTGGAAGTGGCAGGCGTTACTACGAGCCTCAACCCTTGGGTCGCTTAAGTGCCTCAGATTGCACCGGCTGTGACTCTCACCCATGCAACTCCGGCGTCCGTGACTTCCTGGAGCTGCGCGCTTATTCCCAAGGGAAGTGTCTTGGGACTAGTGAGCCTAGGACTCCATTTTGGCTGCGTTGTCATGCGTTCCGTGGAAGTGGCAGGCGTGAGTTCAGGGGTCACCCCTTGTGTCTCACTCTCACGCATGCCACTCCAGAGTGCGTGATCTCCCGGCGTTGCGCGCCTATTCCCAAGGGAACTCCCTTAGGACTAGTGAACCTGGAACTCCATTTTGGCCGCGTTCCCATGCGTTCCGTGGAAGTGGTAGGCCTGAGTTCAAGGCACACCCCTTGTGTCTGACTCTCACGCATGCCACTCCGACGTGCGTAATTTCCCGGAGTTCCGCGACTAGTCCCTAAGGTCCCTTGCGTCTAGTGAGCCTGGGATTCCATTTTCACCGCGTTCTCATACGTTCCGTGGAAGTGGCAGCCGTGAGTTCAAGACTCACCCCTTGTGTCTCACTCTCACGCATGCCACTCCGGCGTGCGTGATCTCTTGGCGTTGCGCGCCCTTCCCAAGGGAAGTTCCTTGGGACTAATGAGCCTGGGACTCCATTTTGGCCGAGTTGTCATGCGTCCCGTGGAAGTGGCAGGCGTGATTTCAAGGCTCACCCCTTGTGTCTCACTCTCACGCATGCCACTCCGGCGTGAGTGATTTTCCG